AGTTTAGCCAGGCTTTTGACATAGTCCCACATGACGTTCTCACAAGTAAGATGGAGAAATGTGGGTTCAGTAGAACTACCATTAAGTGGATAGATAATTAGTTAAACAACCGCAAACAAAAAGTAACTATTAGTGGAATTTTTGGTTTCAGAGTAGCAGCCGTGTTAGTCTGTATCCGCAAAAAGAACAGGAGGACTTGTGGCACCTTAGAGACTAACAAATCTATTAAAGCATAAGCTTTCGTGAGCTACAGCTCACTTCATCGGATGCATAGAATGGAACATATAGTAAGATATATATATACACACATACAGATAAGTTAGAAGTTACCATACAAACTGTGAGAGGCTAATTAGTTAAGATGAGCTATTATCAGCAGGAGAAAAAAACTTTTGTAGTGATAATTAAGATGGCCCATTTAGACAGTTGACAAGAAGGTGTGAGGATATTGAACTTAAGGAAATAGATTGAATATGTGCAATGACCCAGCCATTCCCAGTCTCTATTCAAATCCAAGTTAATGGTATCTAGTTTGCATATTAATTCAAGCGCAGCAGTTTCTCGTTGGACTCTGTTTTTGAAGCTTTTCTGTTGCAAAATTGCCACCCTTAAGTCTTTTACTGAGTGGCCAGAGAGGTTGAAGTGCTCTCCTACCGGTTTTTGAATGTTACGATTCCTGATGTCAGATTTGTGTCCATTTATTCTTTTGCATAGCTCGTTCACCTGCACATCTCCCAATGTGATATATGCCATCATGTGCCAGCAATGCCCCTCTGCTATGTACATTGGCCAAACCGGACAGTCTCTACACAAAAGAATAAATGGACACAAATCTGACATCAGGAATCATGCAAGTTCAGATTTTTAATGAGCTTATTGATGGAGCCCTGCATGGATACAAAATTTGCATCCACGTCTGAACTGCAATCTGCAAATATGGTCCACGGATATCCACAGATTTGCAGGGTTCTAGATATAAAATTTTGATCTGCATCCATCCATGACCTGCAAACCTAGCCCATTCCATATCCACGGCTGTGGATATCTACAGATATAAAGTGGATATTTGCAGGGCTCTACCAATTGACTAAACTGAAACATGCATTTTGAACTGGCCCGTAGCCTAGCAGCAGCTATCAAGCAGTGACTCAGCTGCAAGGGAAACAGCGACTCAGCTAGATGCCTTGGTCCCACATTGTGAATCACCATACAAGTAATCTGAGCAATTCTGAAATAAATTTAATGTCTGAGAGAGAGCAAATGCTGCTCCCTCGTGATGGCAGACACATGCTGAGTCCACTTAAAAAAATGCAATGCAAAGAACTCCAGCAGCAGCAGTGTTATCAGCCATGTGCTGGGGACTATGCAATTCTTTCCTAAGGAAGGCCATGAACCAGGCACACCACTGATGCAGCCTGTCCATAATTGAGCACAGTCAGCATAGTAACAGCCATAGGATCAGCCCCCACAACTGAGCACAGACAGCGTGGTTACAGCCATACAGTCAGCCCCACAACTGAGCATAGACAGCTTGGTTACAGCCGTACAGTCAGACCCACAACTGAGCACAGACAGCGTGGTTACAGCCATACAGTCAGCCCCACAACTGAGCATAGACAGCTTGGTTACAGCCATACAGTCAGACCCACAACTGAGCACAGACAGCTTGGTTACAGCCGTACAGTCAGACCCACAACTGAGCACAGACAGCGTGGTTACAGCCATAGGATCAGCCCCACAACTGAGCACAGACAGCGTGGTTACAGCCATAGGATCAGCCCCACAACTACGCACAGACAGCGTGGTTACAGCCATAGGATCAGCCCCACAACTACGCACAGACAGCGTGGTTACAGCCATAGGATCAGCCCCACAACTACGCACAGACAGCTTGGTTACAGCCATACAGTCAGCCCCACAACTGAGCACAGACAGCTTGGTTACAGCCATACAGTCAGCCCCACAAGTGAGCACAGACAGCGTGGTTACAGCCATAGGATCAGCCCCACAACTACGCACAGAAGCACAGCTACAGCCACGGAACCAGATCATAGAAAGATTTGGAGGTGGAAATCTTTTAAGGCATAGGGTACGTCTACACAGGGATAAAAGCGCCACATCACGTCCGTGGCTGGCCCAAGTCAGCTGACTCGAGGTCTCAGGCTCCAGGGCTAAAAAAATCTCTGTGTAGGTGTTCGGGCTCAGACTGGACCCCGAGCTCTGGGACCCTAGGTGTGTGGAAGGTCCTATCAGCTAACCTCAAACTCATGTTAGAATCATAGAATATCAGGGTTGGAAGGGACCTCAGGAGGTCATCTAGTCCAACCCCCTGCTCAAAGCAGGACCAATCCCCAATTAAATCATCCCAGCCAGGGCTTTGTCAAGCCTGACCTAAAAACTTCTAAGGCAGGAGATTCTACCACCTCCCTAGGTAACGCATTCCAGTGTTTCACCACCCTCCTAGTGAAAAAGTTTTTCCTAATATCCAACCTAAACCTCCCCCACTGCAACTTGAGACCATTACTCCTTGTCCTGTCCTCTTCTACCACTGAGAATAATCTAGAACCATCCTCTCTGGAACCACCTCTCAGGTAGTTGAAAGCAGCTATCAAATCCCCCCTCATTCTTCTCGTCTGCAGACTAAACAATCCCAGTTCCCTCAGCCTCTCCTCATAAGTCATGTGTTATATGTTTGCAGTTATGCTTATGTAATCTCTGCTCTCAGGTTGTGTGAGTCCCTTAAGGCTTTTAAGAGGTCATGTTTAATACAGCACTAGAAGCTTTAGGCTTTGCCAATTCTTTTTATGTTTTACATTGTACGTTTTATGCCGCTGGGCTTTGCAAGAAGTCCTAAGACACAAGCCATATTTTCTCCATGTACCAAATCCCCAACAAACTAGCGTACTGTTCTTTTCCTCCTGTATTTCCAGTGATGTGACATCTAACCTTTCATGGCTTCCACTCCTCTGCAGAATCCGAGCACTGATGGATAGTCACGAACGTCCATTTCCTGTTTTCACACATTTACGCCCCACCCCCACCCCCACACTGGAACCCAGTGACAGAGGTTTGAGGCGCTTGCTTTTCTTGCGGAGGTGTCAACAAATAAACCTCAGAATTGCTAATGAAAGCAGCAGGGCAAATCTTCTAAGTGTACAACTTTCTCTGTGCTCTCCTGTAACCCTAGTTATGGCAAGTGAAAAGCTTAAATTGTTCACATCGGGGTCAGATCTGTGTTTGCTTATACTGTGGCTTCCATCCCTGGACTATGATAAGTAAGACATTCACTGAACCCTTTGTACAGTGGAATAGGGGTTTAAAAAGCTAATTACCTAATGACTTTCTAACCATTTATTTGCTATTACTGTTTTGCTAACTGAAACCCAACAAATTGAAGACACACACATGCCAATTATCAACAGCATCCCAGGCCCAGAACCTGCAGCATTCTATTGTGAAGCTGGTCAATTTCCACCATCACTGTGTATGAGCATCAACCAATTTACTTTTAAGTAGAATTAAATCTATTAATTTTCTGTCCATGGCAATGTCAGGCAAGGTAAGGCGGAGCTCATCTGCTGTCCAACGCAAATCATAAATTATAGGCTCATCAATACAGGGAAGCATCCAATTAAACTTCCTTATTACATTTCACTAAGTTGCCCCAGACCAATTAGAACCATTTTTCTTTTTGGTCTAATTAGGTTCAACTCAACTCTGCTGTGTTGAAAGCTGTAATAAATGAACACATGAGAAGCACAGTTCAGAAGCCATGTGAGGGATCATTTATATGCTCTGGGCTGCTGCTTTGGAAAGGGCTCTACCTAATTATGTGGGTTAATGCACTCATACAATATGGATGAATTGCAGCCATTTCCAATGGCTTGAGGCCCCTGAGACCGATAGAACTGCAGATTAATAAGTAGTTAGTGAGTGATCTGTTGAACTGTCTTATCACTCTTCACTTTTGCTTTGTGTCTGGAGTGCTAAAGAGGAGAAATATGTGAAAGAAATCCAATTCTTTGTTCTATCTCAGAAACTTGCTTGGTAGGAAATGAGCGAAATTGGTGAATGATGAGATACAGCACTTGATATTTCCCACTTCAGTGGGCTTTGGATCAAACCCACAGTGCACAGGAGAAATAGCTGTCTCACTAATATAGTAGATTTTAGGTGTCTTCCATTTCATTTATTAGGTACATTTTTATCAGTGAATTTTAGTGGTCATGATACATCGTAATGGGTACAGTAGAAGTACCTAAGGTAAAATAGATATAGAGAAGCAAGGTTTGCCAAGACAAGATTAGAATTGACAAGGTTGGAGAATGTATTCCTCTATATGTCCCTAAAAATGGGTGCGGCTCTGTTATATTCCCCTACAAATATTCATGAGCACAGACCTGGGGGTCAGAGAGGCGTTTGGCCTCTACACTCAGTTAATCATTGGCTTATGGTGCTGAAACTACTGCCAGACATGGCATTGGGTGCTGCTTTTGTGATGTGACGACTTGTTCTTAAGACACTGGACAAAGACTCCCAGTCAATGGAAGTTTGACTCATTAGTGACTAGTACTGGCCTCAGCTCATTAAGTTTTTGTTCTGTGTTTCTTCAATTGTTTGAGTCATGTTCTCTTTACTTTTCTTCCACATTTGCCAGGGTTCAGAGACTCCTCAGTAACACCCATAAAAGGAGCGTTTAGAATTCTCTCTCGTCTCATACAGTTCTCATTATCCACATCCAGCTGCTCCCCGTGCTTCTGGTTGGGCATTTTGCCCAACCAGAACTGCCAGCTCCTGGGGGTTTGCGCTCAGAAGTCTGCATTGTGTGATATGGTAAGTAAGAGGAGACAGTGCCAATGTGTGTATTCAGAGTATTTATATTAATGAATATGGGCATCGGCAGAGTAAACAGCAGTTTAATGGTATTGCTGGATTAATCTGTCATGGAAATGGGAGGATGAATGTGCCTTCATAGTGTGCAAATCAATGAAAAACATAAATTCGAAGTGAATACATTTGTTTATAGCAATTTCACAGAATCATTATTTCTAAAATATGTTTTCTCATTGTCAATAGATGGTACATTACTAACGTAGCTCCCATTGAGGATTAGTAAACGGCTAAGGGATTTCAAACACAGTCTTTCATCTCTGGGTCACTGGCTAAAAGGCCCTCAGGCTCTAGTAACCAAAAACGATTACTATCTAACAGCTGTTTGATGGTCTCAATCCAGGACAGGTGTCATGCAGATCACAACAAGCCACTACCACCCCTGATGTGACTGGGCAAACTTGCTGGTAGTCTGAGCTCAGGGCCTGAATTGCAGAGGGATACTGAGCTGCACACCCACACCAGAGGTGATAACCCCAGGACCAGATATAAAGACAGAAGAGTAGGCACCAAATTTTGTGTCTTTTGCCAGGACTAAATTCACTTGAAAATATGTAAATTTCCATTCATCCAATGCTTTAATTGTAACTTCTACATATTACCTATGTATATAACTAATAATTTAGTTGCTAGTTTGGGAGATATACTATTCAATGATGGCATAGGTCTTTTGCCAAACCGAATTTCTCTGATTCTATTAGTATTTAGGCTTTTTTACCCTTAAGCAGTGCTACGCACCATTGATTTCAGCACCTCTCAGGATCAAGCCAAGTCAATGCCAAAGCTTCCACCGAGACAATGGTGCATGATCAAGCCATTCTTAACAACCTGATCCTCAGCTCGTGTGAACTGGCATAGCTCTACGGATGTCAATGCAGCGACTTCGGATCCGGTTTGCTGCAGGTTTTTTAACTTCCGTAGTGCTCAGAGATAGGTAATGTATTGAGGTGGTCAACATTTTTCACATGAAAAGGTTTTTGTTTGTGTTTGTTTCTTGCCAAAAAATGGCCTCTTTTAAAAAATGCAATTTTTCATGAAAAATTGGTGCTATTTCCATTTCTCAGAAAACTGTCCACATCTTTTACTGAAATTTTAATCAAAATAATTATCAACCTTTTTCATTTACTGAAAACTACATTTTCTTAACGGAAACTGGGTTTTCAGTAAATGAAACATTTAAACATTTATTTCAATTACACGTTCAATACAATTTGCAATTATATGAGCTTCTTTTCCAGTTTGTTTGTTTTTAAATCAGCTCTAGTTATATACTTCCTGCCAGCGAGGTATGGCAGGGCTTAATCATAGAAGATGAGGGTTGGAAGAGACCTCAGGAGGTCATCTAATCCAAGCCCCTGCTCAAAGCAGGACCAGCCCCCAACTAAATCATCCCAGCCAGGCTTTGTCAAGCCGGGCCTTAAAAACCTCTAAGGATGGAGATTCCATCACCTCCTTAGGTAACGCATTCCCGTGCTTCACCACCCTCCTAGTGAAATAACTGATCTTATTTTCTGATCTTCCATTGCTGTGTCCCCAAAATAAATAAACAGGGCCTTTGAGAGGTGTTGTTTTGTGTATGTAGAGCTGAGAGTCTAAGGCTATGTTTACACCATGCTACAGTGCAGATGACATGGGTGTGAGCTGCACAGCGCACCAAAGTGTTGTGCCCTAGCTGCCCCATGTGGACACAGCTGGCACCAACTAAATGGTACCTTAACATAGTTCTCTTCCAAACAGAGAACCCCTGCATCAACTAAACAGCCAACTGATCTGTATGCTAATAATATGCGTAATCCTAAAATGTCTTCGTGTTTTGCCCAGAAGAGCAATTTCTGAAGTAGCAGTTTACTGTACGTGAATTTCCTCTGCCTGTACGAGATTATTTTTAAACCCTGTAAAAAAAGAAACCAACAAAACACATTGACTTTCATGGCTTTAAAAGAACAAAATTAGCGATCAGGAACATGTTGAAAGAAAAAAACTATAAAGCTGAACTCTCAGTTATACATATTCAAGCACTCTAAACACCAAGCTTCAGCAGCAATGAAATAACATTCCCCAGATACACAGGACAAGTAAAATCCATAACACAAGATCAAATACAGTGTGTGTCTTCAGTGAAGGAGGTAAAGGAAAAAAAAACATTCATGATCACTAATATATGTTACAAAACCTAGCTTTGCTTTCATACAATTACAGTCTTTATTGGTTACAGCAGTTTTAATATCACATATCAAGTAAAGCCGAAATTGATATATGGCCTGAATGTGAAGTATCTTCAGAGTCTGTTCCACTTCATGGTGAGATCAGGTGCTCTGCAAAGATAAGGATAACAGATAAGTATTCATGGGTTTCTCTGAGAGTTGCAGATATAAAGTGCCAGCCCACGGAAGGATGGCTAGTCGAGACATTCCCAAATAAATACATAATCAGTTGTAAGGTGGATACGCAATCCCATCAGCGTGTGCCTGGTTGGAACCAGTCTAGGCATACAGGAGAGAGCAGAGACTCTCTCGTGGAGGAGGCAGAAGTGGGGGTGGAGATGACGAGGGATTGGCCAAGCTTGGGGAGAAAGCTTAGGCAGGAAACTGTGTTCTGGCACTGTTATTTGTATTACCAGTGGAGCCCAGCACCAGAAGGCAGCAAGGCTGGCCTTTTAAAAAAAATAATGGAGGGGTGCACTAGCCGTTAATGAGTAGGAAGCCGGGTTCAAATCCTAGGTTAGGTCACAAGTGAGACCATATCTAGCAATTTTGGCCGTGTTGCCATTTGGCCACATAATAAAACCAGACTCTACTTTACTGTACGTGATCACTTTCCCATGACATTTTATTGGTGCCTATGCCTGAAATCCTTCAGAAGATGTACTAAAAACAAAAGATTACTTTACTATAAACCAACAAGATACCAAAATAGAGGAGAATGACCAAACCCTGAAAACTCACAAAATACAAACCCATGTGAGTTATTTTAGTAGCAATTATTTGTCTGAGAATAGTACCTGGGGGCCCCAATTGAGATCAGGATCCCAGTGTGGAAGGTGCCATATGTGCACAGAGTATGACCCACGGTTTGCCATGAACACACGTAAACAGCATAAACTGCTAAAAAGGAAACAGTAAAATCTTCATCTTCAGTAAATGAATTGTACTTATATCATCACAAAACCACTGGACTGTGTTTCACAAGAGATCTGAGAGGCTATGGGGAGAAGCCAGAATAGGAATCATATAAACCTGCCCAGCTCTCTAAAAACATCCTCTTCTCTCTCCCTGTACTCTGCCGGGGAATGCCATACCCCGATCCAATAGAAGAGTGAAAGGACAGACCAAGCCCTGAGAAGGAGATGGATGTGTCTGTAAGTGCCAAGTATCGATATGGTAACTGGCCACATAAAGAGTGAAAATTGGTGTCCAAAAATTGATGCACAGCTGATCACATTCCTCAGCATTGTTCTTCTCCCTGTAAAAAGTTGCTGGAGTTAATCTGGCCCAATCAAGCCATTCCTGTAGTAATGCCTTTTTAAGACAAGCTGCCATGGTTCATAACATTTTATGTGTGTGCATGAGAGAGAGCTCAGCCTAAGGAAATCCCATGGATCTTGGCTTGGCTTTTCCCTCTGAGGAGCTGGAATCCAAGCTTTCTGTTTGCACTGGGATGAGGGGCACCATATGTTTGACATGTAAACAAGCTCCAATACCAACAGGAGCTGTAATTTTTGGCAGGGTGTGTAACAAGTGGGGATTATGTATCTTGATTTGTGGGCAGAAAAATATCTACATTACAAAACCTACTTAAATCAGGACTAGCTGATCTCTGGGCTGGGACGCAAACCTGTCTTGTGTCTATATCTGGAGATGGATCCTTTGATGCTGTGGCCACAATCCAACTGAGACAGAGTTTGGGCCATGTGGCCAGCATGGTATAATATTCATTTGGGGTTTAATTTAGGAAAACATGAATCCCTTTTAAGGACCATCAGAAAGGATTTTTATCCCTCCAAATCCTAAAGTTTTGACAGAGTGCCTATGATTATTGTGATTTATATGTAGTGTGGTAACATGCAGGAGCCACAGGCCTGGACCAGGACTTCACAGTGCTGTATAAACAGATAACAAAAAGGCAATCCTTACCCAAAAGAGCTTACCGAATCTAACAGGACAGGGCCTCCACTGGGGTCAATGGGCATTGCTACCCTGAAGCCATTAGCGTTATGCCAAGTTAGCAGCTGAACTCGACATGTTAAGAAATAAAAATTGCCAGGGAGGCTGATCTAACTTCAGGGCAATAATATTTAACAACTTAGGAGCCCAAGATCAGGTCCATGCTCTTTCCCTTGGTGATACTCAAGTCTTCTCTCACTCCCTCTATCTGACATTCTTCATTCATTCTTATTCGTTCACTCTCCGTCCTTTGAGTGCGACTATTCGCATGAGTAATAGTTTGCAGAACGGGGCCCAGGGAATTTTTCTGGGGACTGATCCAAAGTCTGTGGAAGTCAAAGGGAGTCTTTCCATTGACTTGGATGTCTGGATCAGTCTCATACGCTCTCATCCACTCCGGAGTCTAGTCTATTTGTTATTTTCCTACTCGGGGAGTTCAGTGACGCCTGTTTATAATTAGTTTTTTTCTTTCCTGCTGCTCCAACCCCCCTAAATTATAAGGGGCATCCCCCCTCACCCATTAGTATGAATAATAGAGAGCAGTTGGTCTGAATGGCTAGGCTGTAGTTCACTAAGGTTAACTGCTGTCAGGGAAATGAGCCTTAATGTCCTTGTATGTTTTCAAAAGTCAAATGAGTGCAGTGTCATCTGGATAAATAGCTGCGTGTGCTTGTGCTCAGCAAAGAGAGGGGAAGATATAGAGACTACAGTGGGCTAAAAAGAATGCCAGAGGGGGCAAGTTTTGTTTGTCTTGGACATTTGCTTCCTGTGACTAATACAGTATCTGTTCATCGTTCGATGTGTAGAACTCCAGCTAAAAGCAGGAGCAGGAGCCAAGCCCCAGCATTTACCCCAGCAGGGGGCGGCACATGCACTTCTCTGAAATCCAACCAAACTGCAGGCTGGCGCCGCAGCTTTGCCCCAGATGCACGTTAGAGCAGCCACAGGGCTGCTCTCCTGCAGATGGGCTGGAGCAGCCCCCCGTGGACCATTCCATCTGGCCAAGATCGCCAGAGCACATCACGCTCTTCCTCTCCCCATGCTGAAACTCTGCTGGGGGAAGCAAGTGGCTTCAATCCACACTTGAGAGAATTCTCAGTTGCCTCACAATGGCAGCCTTAGGTCCACTTTGAAACATTCCTTGCCTCCCTCTCTCCTCCCCGTGCACTGCAGCTACTCAGTGGCATTAACACGACAGCAATTTAGCAGTCCCCTCATTTCTTCACTGTTCCCTCCCGCAGCACTAGCCTCTCCTGCTCAGACCTTGTGCTGCAGCTTCACAGACGTTCTGCATCTCCCCTCTGCCCGCGCTCTGCTCAGATCTGTGCTACATCACTAAGGGTGCTTGCTTACCTTCCTACCTCCTGCTCTGCTTCCCCACCCTGCCGGAGCTCTCTCACGTTTTCCCGTCCCATGCTGCATACTGAGTGCGCCATATCTATCATATAATAATATCAATCAGTGTTATTATAAAGCACCCCTCCCTGCCTGAGCTGTGGGACACTGAGATGCTCTGTTAATACAATTATACAGGCCCATTTTCTGTTCCCGGTTTACAAAGACTGTCTTTTCATGCCACAGGATAGCCGACCTCCCCACATTGGCATGTTCTGCTAATTTGGGGATCACTGTTGATCCTGGCCATTTTGCAGATGGGCACCAAGAGATTAGGAGAATATGCCTATAGGAAGACAGTAAGCCAGTAACAGGGCTGGGCAGAGAAGCTGGAATTTCCAGTTCCCTGCTTGAACCATTAGCTCATGGGTCCTTGCTATTGCTGTTGATTTTGTGTGGAAGGTGCTCAGATGCTATGGGGAGGGACAGCAGTATAAAACCCAAAGATAAGCTGAAACCAATACTCTATCTCTCATAGAATCATAGAACATCAGGGCTGGAAGGGACCTCAGGAGGTCCTCTAGTCCAACCCCCCCTGCTCAAAGCAGAACCAACCCCAACTAAATCATCTCAGCCAGGGCTTTGTCAAGCCGGGCCTTAAAAACCTCTAAGGATGGAGATTCCACCACCTCCCAAGGTAACCCATTCCAGTGCTTCACCACCCTCCTAGTGAAATAGTGTTTCCTAATATCCAACCTAGACCTCCCCCACTGCAACTTGAGACCATTGCTCCTTGTTCTGTCGTCTGCCACCACTGAGAACAGCCGAGATCCATCCTCTTTGGAACCCCCTTCAGGTAGTTGAAGGCTGCTATCAAATCCCCCCTCACTTTTCTCTTCTGCAGACTCTCAGGAGGCTTTTCGCTGTTGCCCATCAACAAAGCAACTGAGCACCTCCCGGTAAAATACTCACAACCCTTACAGTGGGAATGGTTAGGCCCTTAGGTACCTTACTTTAAGGCCCCATGTTTGAAAACTGGGGCACGTATGTTTTATTTATGGTATTACACCAAGTTACCCAGAGCCTGTTGGACATGGGATATGACATAAATACATAATTGTTATCATTGCACTATTATTTGCTTCGTGGCGGTCTACTTGGGTTCAATTAAATAAGAAGAAATAAAAAACATGACATGACAGCCAAGGCAAACAACAATATATTCCAGCTCTTCGAAGCTGAATCTAATCAGACAGCAGATTAATCTGAGAACTGCGCCACGGACACAGTGAATCTGGTGGAGCTGAGTTTTTATCTTTACCTTGTTCAGAGGCAATCTACAGGGCTGTGGGGATGCTTTCAGTAAAGTCTGCTTTTCTAGCAACATATATTGCTCCCTTTTAAATAATTCTTTTCCTCTAATTTGCCACAAAGGTTATGCAGATAAATAAATTATATTCCCCTTTGCTACACATAACTTCTTTTCATTATACAAACCCTCTTACCCTTGTCCCTAGTGGATATTTGTCCATGGCACAAAAGCCACTGTCAGATTTGGCACGGCTGGCTATCTCCGCTTAGGATCAGTGATGTACTGCCTGTAATTTACCAAGAGTTCTTTAATGGTCGTACACCCTAGGCTAGATTCACACGGGGGTCTTGGGCATTGCAATACCTACCTTTTAGGTGCCCTGCCTCCCAGTGGCATTCACAGCCCTGAGTTAGTCACCCAGGCTCTCCATGCATTGTATGGGGAGATGTAGGTGCTTAAGACTGGGATTCATGGAAGCTAGCATGCTAAGTGGGGAGCTGCCTAA